ACTGATGTTCAGGTGACAGAAAAGGAAAACCCAGAAGGATTTTCTGCTAGGATAAAATGGCCATGTTTAGGGACATTTTCTGAGAGGCTGAGTTTCTGAGAGGGAAGTGAAAAGAGTGTCTGAGAGGTACAAAATAAAGCCTGCCTTACCTATATACAAGCAGGAGCACTTCAGGCTTTTTAACAAGACTCTAACAAGCCTTTTCAGTCATTTAAGAGTTAAATCAATGAAGGAGTACGCACATTGTATTTCATTACTGCAAGTTTTCAGCAGTTATTAGAGTTTCTGATTTTAAAAAAATAAATATATGTGATTTTTGCATTAAAGGATAAAATTATATTATAAAATTGATATTTAAAAGAATCTGGATAGAATTCAGGAGACATAGCCAGCTTTTGGCACAAATCTTGCGCTTAGGTTTTGTCCAGGCCATTAATAAAATACATCCTGAATTCTCACCCGCTTGGCTGGCAGAGTCTAGGCCAGAGGCTCCCTCACATGCTGTGCCTTTGAGCTCAACACCCAGAAAATTTGTGACAAGAGCTGCGATTAGTTCCAGCAGAAGCTAATGTACCACCTGCCGGAAGAGGGAGCGCGAGCAGACGAGCGGCTCAGAGCCCAGCAGCAGTGGGAGAGGCTGGAAGGGGACCAGGCAGACGCCGCTTCAGGATGACCTTGCCTTCTGCCAGTCCTCCTCAGAGGCACCAGCCCTTTTCCTGTTAATGATAAACCTCAGCAAACAGGCCTCACAGCCTCATGCCAAGTGTAGTTAATATCTCTTTAGTTCATCCCTATCCCACTCTTCCATCACCCAAAGTGGTTTATTTTTTTTTAGTTACGAAGGAACCCATGTACATGTGCAAGCACACAAATTCTCCAAGTTATTATGAATTGTTTTCATAGCACTGTAGAACACAATGCTCTGTTTTTTCCCTGAAAAAAGTTTCTGTTTCCTCAGTTTCAAATGAAAACTTTCATGAAGCCATCACATCAGCACTGCTTACATGTACCTCCAGTATTATCTATGGTGCTTTTTTTGAACAAATTTGAACATGCTTCAAAATTCCTGAAACATTACTGAAATGTGCTGAGCAAGAGGAAAAAAGTCTTTCTCATGATGGTGAAATTAGAGTCTCCAGTAAGGGCATCTTAAAATGTGTGAAGCTCAATACTGTCAGAAAACACTACACTCTGTCTGTAACAAGGGTTTGACGGGGGGATATACACCAAATAATCAGTGTTAAAAGCTGTATATGTCCTCAGGGAGAAAAAAATATAGTTATTGATATATATATGTCATAAGCTAATCGGAGAAAAAGACAAATAATTTTTTCCCCTGGTTTATTAATTTTCCTGGCACACCAGTGTCAATCTATATACAGCATACCTAGAAGACAGACAAAAAGAGCTGTCTGTGAACTGAGTTACATCCTTTCCAGAAGATCTTTAATAATTTAGAAATCTCTTTTTGTCTTATTCCATTACTTTGGGTTATCTGCATGAGAACAGCTGCCTGTTAAAGCAAAAATTGCTATTTTTTTAACAAGGAAAATGGCTTTTTCCACATGGGAACATTTCTTAATGAATTGAAAAGCAAACAATATACTCTCTGTTGTGCAAAAAAACCCGTGTGTTCAACACAGGGACGTGAAAAAGAAGGTCAGCAATTCCAGCTGGCTGCATCATTATGTCTCAAACCGAAGTCACCCACATATTCACCAGTGCTCAGTGTCACACTGGGAGATTTGGCAGGGACGTGAGGTACCACAGAGGTCTAGAAATCAAGAGAGAAGTTAATAAAGCTGATGCCATCTGGAACCTCATCTACTCTGTACCAGTCTCAAAGATGCAGCCTGAAACAGTCTGTCCTTTCAAGATGGGCTGGGTGAAGGAAGGGCAGTAACCACTTGTCAGCAACGGTATTAGAAAGAAAAAGAAAATGCAGAGAGAAAGAGAGAACAGAAATCTAAGAGCTCAACCTCCCAGCAG